AGCTTGCCTGGGGCTCCAGAGAGGCTCTGGTGACCCATGCTCCTGGGGACTGGGTGGGAGGATGTGGGTGTCACTCTGGGGGTCTCAGGTAAGGACTGGAAAGGCCAGCAGGGCAGGTGGCCCAGGAGGGCAGGGCCCCAAGGAGGAGGGACCAGCACAGGCCCCCCCCTTGTGGGTGATAACTATTGGCAGGGAAGGGCAGCCTGTGTCCTGGGCCAGGAAGGAGGTGACTGGTGACCACTCAGGCAGGGCAGGAAGGGAGGCTGTCCACACCCGGCCAGCAGGCTCCTGGGCCACCCCACTGGCTCTCCAAGGGTGCTGAGGTAAGATCCCCCTGGCTCTGAGCAGGTTTCCCTGGCTTCCCTGGTTGTGAGCACAATCAGGCATCGGATGGCTGTCTGAGAATAATGAGACAAACATGGGTTCAGCAAGGACACCCTTTGGCTCTTTTTCACCAAGGCCCAAAGGCATTTTTATTCCCATGTGTTGGGGGGCCAGGATCTGCTCAGCTCCTTCCCCGCATTTATTCCATGTCTCCAAGACCAGGTGGGAAAGGCGGAGCCGCTCCCCACGCCAGCAAGCACAGGACTGCTCCCCACAGCAGGCGACCTTGACAGGCCCCTCCTCCAGGACTTAACCAGCAGGGGTCTCCACGGGGCCTTGGGGCTTCTGCTTCTCCCCCGGGTCAGAGCTGTACACCTTGTCCCTGGCTGAACAGCGCCTGGAGAGGTATTTGGTGCCCTGGAAGGGGCAGCCTATCTTGAAGCCTGCACCTTTAAATACACTCACCCTCCTCGATCACCAGGAGGGGCCCAGCCAAGACCCCTGCACATCTGGGTTTAGAGAGTGGGGCAGGTCGGGTGCCGATTTACCATGTCCCTTGCAAACTGGAGTGTGGGGCTGGCTCAGGCTCCCCCTGCAAAGGGCAGCCCTGGGGAGAGCGTACTACACACCAGCACGGTCGTACCACCCCACAGAGTCCTGGGGATGCAGGCAAGTGCTGAGCCCACGGCAGAGGAAACGCAGGCCCTTTGCAGATGTCAGAGGAAGACATCTGCTACTGGGTGGCCATGGGTAGACAGTGGCAAGGCGTCGTCCCCAGGGAGTTCTCTGGGTCCAGCTCCCCTCCCAGCTTCGGGAGCCAAGACAGATCCTCAGCAAACAGATGTTGCCCGAGGCTTAGGGTAACTGGGTACAAGGGGACCCAGGTCTCTCTCCAGAAACCAGGTGTCAGCCAGGCCTGGCCAGACAAGGAGGAGAACCTCCCACTCCCCCGCCCCCAAGGACCCTGTGCCTCCAGAGGTCTGGCCCTCAGACACCCAGCTCGGCAGGTCCCAGCCGTGTTCAGGCGCCCGTCTGAGCTCCAGCCTCCAGGAGCAGAGCCAGCAGCGATGCCGGGCCCTACACAGGCTGCAGTCTGTCTGTGTTTGTTCTGCTGCCTGGACAGACGTCTCCAGGCAAACGTCTTTGTCCTGAGCAGCTTCTAAACAAAGCCACCGTCCGGCAAGCCAGGCACATAAAAGCCAAGCCCTGAGGGGGTCCCAAGGGCAGGGCAGGCATGTGCTTTATCACCAAACCAGGGCTCTCAAGAATCGAGGGTAGACAAACAGGTCTAAAAAGAAAACTCTGTCCACGAAAGCCCACAGCCTCATCATTCTCAGCAGCCAATAGGTAGAAACAACCCAGACGCCTATGGGGAGACAAGTGAGTAGCGGGACTGTGGCGTACGCAACGTGGCATATTATTCAGCCATGAGGAGGGAGGAAATTTTGGCACCTGGTACAAAACATGGATGGAGCTTGAAGACATTATCACAAGTGAAAGAAGCCAGTTGTGAAAGACTCTGTGTCTATCAGTAGGAACTGCAGAGACTAAGAAAACCCACGGGATCTGACAGCAGAGCCGGGCGGGAGGAGAAGGGACGGGGTTGGACAGGTGCAGGGATTCTCTCCAGGTGTGAAAACGCCCTGGACCTAGAGCTGGTGGCTGCAGGACACTGTGAATGTAGGAAACACCACTGCTGTGTACATTTCTGTGGATTTCGTCTCATTTTTTAAAAAAGAATTGAGACAAGTTTGTGCCAGAGTGTGCCACACGCCAGACAGGCCAGAAGACCAGGACAGCGGGTGTGAGCGCCGCAGCCCAGGGTGCACGGGCACCTGCCCACCGCCGCCCCTGAGGAAGGGTGGCTGGGGCCCAGCGGCTGCAGACACCCTTGCCACCGCCCAACCCTAACACAACCCTCAAGACTCCGAAACCGAGGAACCTGGAGTCCCCTCCGCTCACCCTCCGTGTACTTCCTCCTACGCGCTGACGCTGTGCTCATTAGGACCCAGATCGGATTTCTAGAGATAATTGCAGCCTGCACATGGCAGGAGACTAACAAGATGGGAACATTTTAGAACAGAAGACATTGGAGCCACGGAGGGGAGTTAGAAGGCGGATCCGAGGCAGCAGGGAGGCTGTCCGAGGCTGCGGCAGCGGCACAGGCTGGGTGACAGGGCCACCTGCGGCAGTGTATGGAGGGGGACACCCAGCACTCCCCCTGGGCCCCACCCTGGCCTCCCTGGGCCTTGCTGCCAACCCAGCAAAGAAGCCATACTCCTGGTATGCACTGGGGAGTCAACGGAGAGAGCAGGGGCTGAGCATGCTGCCCAAAAAGACCTGCCCAACAAGACCTGCCCAGCCCCTGGCACCCAGAACTGTGAATGTCGCTGATCAGAGAAAGTCCTGGCAGATGTGATCTGAAGTGAGACATCTCGAGGTGAGGTCACCCCAGGCTTCCCAGTGGGCCTAAGTCCAGTGACAGGGCCCTCACCACCTTCTGATGAACCGGCTCCAAGCACAGACGCCAGGCCAGAGCAGGAAAGGAGGACCCAGGCCACAGGTGGCTGCTGACCACGTGTGGACAGGCCAGGCTGCAGGAGACAGGAGGCAGCTGGGGACAGCCCAGCCTCTGATACACAAGGCCAGCTGGGCACAGGGCTGCTGCCCCACCTCATCCAGCCTGGGGCCGCACTGCTGAGCCCACAGCCAGGGTCCTGCCTGCAGCAGCTACTAAGAAGTCTAGCTTTTTCTGCTGCTGGGGGGACAAAGAGGCCACCACACCTCAGCCCCTTCAGCCCCTTCCTGCCCACAGCCAGGCTCCAAGTACCCGTGGCCAGAAGACGTGGAGTGCCCCTCAGGAGCCACCCCAGGGCACTCTACGTATCATGCCCAGCCAAGCACTGGGAAGAGTGGGAAGGAGATACAGGAGGTGACACCCACATGACCCAGTCATCAGAGTCACACTCAGCCTCCCCTGATGCCTACGCCCTGCGGACAGACAGGAGTACACCCTGGTCAGCCATCCATCAGCCCTGTGACCTGGGGTAAGTTACATACCCTCTCTGTGCCTTGTTTTCCATATGATTAAGTTAAGTATGATAATACTAACCTACCTGACAGGGTTATTGTGGAGATGAGTTAATATGAGTCAGTCCCAGGCACCTAGTAAGCTATACAGATGTGTGTAAATTGTAAATAAGTAAGCTCTCTATGAGCTCGGCTTCCCCAGTTAGAAAATTAGAAAATTGTCCTGAGGAGTAAATGAAGGAAGTATGGTAACTATTGAGCAAAATTCCTGGACCACAGTCCTCAGTAAAGAGTAGCTAAATCTATCATCACCATCATCATCATCACCATCACTATCACCATCATCACACATCACCAATATCACCATTGTCACCATCACCACACATCACCGCCATCACCATCACCACCATTACCACCACCACCATCACCATCATCACCACCACCATCATCACCATCATCATCACCACCATCATCACCATCATCATCACCATCATCACCATTGTCACCATCATCACACATCACCGCCATCACCATCACCACCATTACCACCACCACCACCACCATCACCATCACCATCATCACCACCACCATCATCACCATCACCATCACCAACATCACCATTGTCACCATCATCACACATCACCACCATCACCATCACCACCATTACCACCACCACCACCACCATCACCATCACCACCATTACCACCACCACCATCATCACCATCACCATCATCACCATCACCATCATCACCATCACCATCACCATCATCACCATCACCACCATTACCACCACCACCACCATCACCATCATCACACATCACCGACATCATCATCACCACTACTACCACCACCACCACCATCACCACCATCATACCTTATCATTATTGCTATCATCATTATAGCCATCACCAGAATCATCACCATCACCACCATAATTATTATCACCATCACCATCATGATCTTCGCCATCCTTGTCATCCCCTTATTCAGATGCAGTGGGGAGAGCGGTGTCTATCATGTGGACCTCACAAGCTTGAAGGAAGGGAAGTGAAATTACAGAAAGCCCATTAATGGATTGTTTTTATTGTTCCTGGTCCCAGAGAAAGCTGAGCCAGATTCTTTCAACGCCTGAGCACAGTCTCTTACCAACAGATTCCGTGCTCATGAATCATGGTTATGAGGGTATTCTCTCTTCAGTATCCAGCTGAAACCCAGAAATCTCACACCTTCACAATCCAGAGGGCACTGCTCCTGTGTCTTTATGGCTTGGGCCCTATCTGTCCCCAAGAGTCTGGCAGACTACTCCTGACTCCACCAGGCTAGAACAAAACCCATCCAAACAAGGAAGCCGTACCCTTAGCTCTTAGCTTTCCTCCACCCCCAGCCCCTGTGAGCTCACACACACAGGCATGCGTGCACGGGCGCATACACACACACACACACACACACACACACGCACAACGAGCTATTTGCGAAGGGATCAATTTGTGAGACAGAAACACTTAGGACAATGACCTAAAACATACCCTCCCCCAAGACATCTTAACGTTTCACCCTCTCTCTCCCCTGCTGCAACCAAATGCCACCGAAGTGCCTGGCTCCTCCCTGGTAAACCTCTCTCATCAGCGAGGCACATTTGGACATCTTCAGCATCACGTGATTCTCCTGAAAATGTCAAGCCTGTCAGGTCAGACGTGTTTCAGAATCCTCAGTTCCTGCTGGAGCCCCTGGTGAGCAGAAAAAGAAAGTGGCCTCCTCCCTCCTCGGGCAGAGGTCAGTGCTTGTCAAGATGCTCAGTGGCTGAGCCATCCCCGCCCCTGCAAGTACATTCTCAGAGCACATTCTCAGATCAGGACAGATGTAAAGAACGAGCCAAGAGTCACAGACCTCCCAGTTCTCCAGAGCATGAGGTACAACGTGGTTATGACAGTCCCACAGAAAAGCGCCCCGCCAAAGAAGCCCTTCCTTCCATCCATCTGCCCGAATATCACCCGTGCATCCTTCTCATTCACACACCCTCCTTTATGCAGCCACCCGTCCATCTTTCCATCCACCCCCCCATCCATGCATTCCTCATCTGTCTTTCCATCCACCCACCCACCCGTCCATCCATGCACCCTTTGTCATCCACCCATGCATCTTTCCCCTTCTGTCCATCCACCCATCCATGCATCCACCCATCTCCTGGATTCACTCACAAGTGATCCTTTCAAAAGTTTTGGATGCAGCCTGGAACCTCCCATAGCACCATGGTCTGTGCAGAGAATCATCCAAGGTTTGTGAATCCATTCTATGTCCTCTGGGACTGAAGCTACAAATGACCCCAGGGAACATTTTTGAATGATGATAAAAACGCAAGCATTTTTAGACCTGAAGCACGGGGACTTTTTACATATCCCAGCACTAAAATGGTTGTTTGGGGTATCCCTCGGGTTTCTCCTCAGCCCAGCTCGTAGAAAACACCAGTGTTTGGGAAAGCCAGATCTGCCTGGGGACCGGTTATGAGGCTGATGCTAAGATCTGCTCCAAGTCCTCCTCCCTCGCTGTAGGGGGGCCCTGCTGACCCCACCTCCACTCCAGTCCCCTCTGGTCCCTCAACACACGGCCCCACCAAGTCCTGGACTTGACGCATTTCTTCCAATAGGCCATCTCCCCTTGTCCTCGAGGCACATGTTGTCCTGAGTCCATCCTCTCCAAACACTGCACAATTAACCGGACTAAATATTTTGACTTCCTCCGTCTCTCTTTCTGCAGCTTTGGACTGACTTCAAGCACCTTTCAGAATTGATTGGCTGTGATGCTGCTCTATTGCGTTATCGATTTCAGTTCCCGTGTAAAACAAGGAGTTTATGTCCACACACAGAACATAAGTGCTACTGTGCTGTCTAAATATTATATCTCGCTGTCACAGTGGGATGGGAAAGCATAAACATACTTTTAATTGACCTCAAGACACTCGTGTCAGTCACGGGCAGCGAGGCTGGATGCTGCTGTCCCCAGGAACTCCATGGCCTCCGGCTGTGCCAGCGCTGGCCACGCCACCTCTGCATGAAGAAGCACAGACATATGGAGTCCTCCCCCGGCTAGAGCCACCTCCCCACTGCATTCTGTGGAGTGTGGGGGACACACGCGTCAGGAGAACGTCCTCCTACTCGACGAAGGCCAGGCAGGTTAGTACCCGCCCACCTAGAAATCACTTTTTCTCTCTCTCGGAATGAACAAGGATTTTAACAAGTGACAGTCAAGCGTGACCAGTCCCACGCAGAGCCCTGCATGACTCTCCATCCATCAAGTTTGCTAAAGTGAGAAAACTTGCTGTCTACTGTCCATTTTCTTCCAGAAAAAAATAAGAGGGGGAGTAAGTTAAAACTAAACAAGAGACTTTTTTTCAACTTTAAATCTGTAAAACTAGAAATCAGCAAACTCTTTCTTAAAGGACCAGGTGTAAATATTTCAGATTTTGTGAACTCTGGTCTCCGTGAAAACTTCTCCCCTCTACCAAGGTAGCCATAGCCTATATGGAAATGAGCAGGTGTGGCTGTGTTGCAATAAAACTTTATTTATAAAAGCAAGCACAGCCAGGTGCATGCCTGTCAACCCAGCACTTTCAGAGGCTCAGGTAGGAGGAGGACCACAAGTTTGAGCCCAGCCTGGGCAACATAGAAGATCTTGTGTCAAGATTTTTTTTTAAAAAAAGGGTGTGAGGCCAGGCATGGTGGTGCATGCCTGTAATCCCAGCACTCTGGAGGCTGAGGCAGGAGGATCACTGCAAGTTCAAGGCCAGCCTGAACTGCATAGTGAAACCCTGTCTCAAAAAGGCAAAAAAAAATTAAAAATAAAAAAAGGTACTGACGTAGTTCAAAGCAAAGGCCCTCAGTTCAATCTCCAATGCCACTTTAAAAAAATTTTTTTTTCTTAAAAAAGCAAGCAAGTGAGATCTGTGACTTGTAGTTTGAGGCCTCTGCTTTGGGGTGGTACTACTCCAAGACATGGGTGGGGTACTGTCCAAGAAACTGGATCTCGAGGGCACCTCTGGCGTTAGACAGACTGTGACAGTGCGACCCGGGGTAACCCTCAGGGAATGTCCCTTCAGGTAAGAGATGGACCCTGTGCCTCCTGGGATCCTGGGAGAACCTGTCCACAGGGGCTTTCCTCTTCTCCTGTGACCCAGCCTTCACGTTTCCTCCCAGCTCGGCCATTAGAGGTTAAAGAAGTGCCAAGGGTCCAGACTGCATTCTCCAGGGGCACTGGCAGGGATGGCAGGGACCGCATCAACCCTCAGGGCCCTGTCCCCAGCGGTAGCACCCAAGGTGATAGAGCAGCAGTGACTGTCTTGCTTCCCTGGGAAAAGTTCCAGTTGGGAGGCAGGGTGCAAAGGCAGCTGCTGTTCTGAGACAAGCAAGAGACAAGCAGCCCGGACCTGAGCCCCTCGGACAGGCTGCGCTCAAGTGTGGACCAAGTCCTCCACCCACAGTTAAATACTTAGCAGTTAATTGGCTTTGGCAATATAAAAAAGACTATTTGAACTCCCTCAAAATGCAATCCAGACACTTTATGAAAAGAAGCTAGATATACTGCAGTGCTGAGTAGACCTTCTCTCGCCATCAGCCTCCTTAAAAGCACTTCAAGGGTAAAAATATTCTTAAATCAAAAGGAATGCCTCACTTAGCAAGACGGGAGTTGGCAGGGTCTGTCCAGCGGCTCCTTTCGTTATCAGAAAGGACAAATAGGGGCTGGGGATTTAGCTCAGCGGCAAAGCGCCTGCCTGGCAAGCGCAAGGTCGTGAGTTCAGTTCCCGGTACCGGAGAAAAATCAAAAAAAAAAAAAAAAAGAAAGAAATGACAAATGGAGCTTGGGGCTCCGCCTGTGGGGTCCTCCTGACGGGCAGGGCGAGGAAAGCGCAGGCGCACAGGAAGGGGGTCAGGCTGCCTGTGAGCTCTCGGCCCCAGGCGGGACCCCAAGGAACTCAAAGGGCTGTTGGAAAGAGTGAGGGAGTCGTGGCAAGAGCAAGGCAGGGCGGCGACAGTGACCAGGGAGTGTGGAATCGAGCATGAGATGCGGGGGGAGCTTATGGACAGCCACAAGGAGCAAGAGAGGAGAGTGAGACAGAGACTTGCGGGGAGGGACCCCACAGGGCGAGGGCCTTTCTTCTTCTTTCTAACCACCGGGCATTAAACTCGCTCTTACATGTGCTAGGCAAAGCACTCTACCACGGAGTGGCACCCCGGGCTCTTTTAAAGTATGCTGAGGCAGGGTCTAAGTTTCCCAGGCTGGCCTCAACATTGGGACCCCCCTTTCTCAGCCTCCCAAGGAGCTGGGATGACAGGCATCCACCACAGTGCCCAGCTACAGAAGACCTTTCTTACCAGTGCAAGTGAGGATGCAGACACACACAGATACATAGACACACAAATACACATAGCTACACACACATGTGCACACATGTGCACACAGAGAGACCTCATGCAGGTGCAGAACAGAGAGATACACACAATGCAAAGCCACACAAGCCCACACACAGAGACACAAGTATGCACACAGCAGTGTCATGGCTTGATGGGTCCTAAAGCCCCCCAAAGGCCAAGGGATTGAAGGTTCGGTCCCAACCTGAGGCACCGCCAAGAGGTGGTGGGAATATTGGAGGTGGGACCTGGGGCGGAAGTGACATTACAGGGTCATGGCCTTGACAAGCTGCAGGTACCAGGCCTTTCTTTCTCTCCTTGTTTCTGGGCACCAGGAAGTGAGCAGCCTCAGCCACCACATAACTGTGACTCCGCGTGGGGCCACAAGCCCCATGACCAGGGATGGAAGTGAGCCGAAGTGAACCTTTCCTCTGGTTAACATGACCGTGCCCGGTACTCTGTCACAGTGACATAACGCTGACCAACATAAACAGGCACACGCAGAAATTAATACACACGCTTCACCCAGCAGCAGACACACGCACACACAGAGGCACACACACAGACCTGGAGTGGGAAAAACACAGGTTCAGAACACACACACACTCACACTCAAGGAGGAGCACGCCACCGAAGACAAGCACAATGTCGCCTCCAAGCCTGGTTCTTCCTTCCAGGCCACAGGAAACTGCGTGACGAAGGCGGGAGCAACCTCAGCCAGGCCACCCAGGCACTGCTAAGCTTGAGTTCAGGCTGGGCATGACTTGCCAGGCCCAAGACTCAGCACGCATGCTCAGGGCTTGTGTGTGTGGGCACGTGTGCATGGGGGGGGGGTACAGAATGCAAACTGCCCCATCCAAATCAAAAGCTCAGCACCCTGGGCTGTGGCCTCAAACTCCTCCTGCCTCTCTCCCCTGCTGGAGCACCCGGGCCCCAGAGGCCCCTTGTCCACCCCTGGGAGCAGGGTCCGCAGGCCTCTGGCCTTGGCCCCTCTGCAGAGCAGACACAGGAGGAGGCTCTTCCCAGACTCAGCCCCACCCCAGCTGTGTGGCCACAGGGAAGGCCTACTGTCCCTGCGCCCTCTGCAGCCCAGGACCCACCACCCCACCACACCCCTGACCCTAACCCTGAGGGACGTGAGTCTGTGCCCTGTGCCCAGTGATTCTGCAGTCCCCATGCTCTTGGAGCAAGGCCTGGCCGGAAGGAAGCCCTCAGCCTGCACCACTGATGGGTGAGGGAGTGGCATAGGAGGTGAGGCTTGGGGACAGCGGGCAGAAAGGAGGCAGCCGTGCCCACCTCGGGCTCTCCCCGCCTCCCGGGTCTAGGCTCCGCACTCTCCTAGAAGGCCCGAGGCTACGCAGTGCCCTGAAGAGCAGAACAAGGAGCCAGAGCCCGGCCCGGGCTTCGCTGGGTGGCCGGGGGCGGGATTCGTCCAAACCACCCTGGAAGACCCAGACAGGAGCGAAGCTGTGATTATAAAGAACGCGCGTTCCAGGGCGGCATGGCCGGGCGGGGCAGCAGCAGAGGGAGCAATCCCACGAGCCAGCAAGGGAGATTTGTTAACAAGCTCATGTAGGAATATTCCAGTGAATCATTCAGCATCCAAATAAATTATTCACCCCCTCATTTCCCTCCATTTCTCACACTCGCCAGAGCCACAGGTGCATTATTTAAAAAGCCTTATGAGTTTAGAGAAGAACAAAATCCTAAATCCAGGAAACAGAACCTCATGTGGTACCACACACCTATAATCCCAGGACACCAGGAGGCTGAAGCAGGAGGATCTCAAGTTTGAGCCCAGCTGGGAAACTTAGCAACTTAGTGAGATCCTATTTCAAAATTTCAGAAAAACAGTTTTATAAGGGCTGGGGATATAGCTCAGTATAAAGACCCTGGGCTTAAGCTCAGGTACCACAAAACATCAACCAATCAAATGATCAGTCAATCTATCAACCAATCCATCAAACAATCCAGGAAGCAGGGGCCCCCTGTGTTTTGCTGTAAGCACGGGTTGGTGTTTTTTAAAATACCCTGTGACCCAGAGCTGGGAGACAGTCCCCATGGGTGGGCAGGAGCTGGATACTCGCCCTGCAGCAGGGCTGGGGCCAGGCCCAGACACACTGCTTTGTTCCGGGAACGGCTGAGTCTCCCATCCTAAAGCTCTGGACAGCAGTGCTCCGGGGACATCAGTGAGACACCCATGAGTCCATCCACCTGAGGGGTCTCCACCTCACTCAACAGACTCTGTTCTCCCGTTCTCCACCCACAGAGCGCCATGGCTCCCCACTTGACCCCTTCCACGGGGCTGACGCGCTCCTGGGAGAAGCCTGCAGCTCAGGGCAGCTGGCCGGCCCCTCTGAGTCTCCATCATCCCGGCCTCTGGCTCATGGGCTTTGGGGAGAACTAGATGAGGACAGGACGGGGACAGGACGGGGACAGCCCTGCAGGCACATGGCAGAGCCCAGCTCCAAGGGTGGGCTGCTCTCCCCGAGATGCTCTGAACACATGCATGTGCGCACACACACACACCCATGCACACTTGTGCACCCCACCCCCACACTCACAGCGCTCACATGTGCTCACACACCCATGCACACCACACTCACACACACCCCTCAGCCA